CAATGTGTTTACACATTTTAAAATGTACTCTCTGACCTACAGGCAGAATAGGAAGGTAGCCCCCTCCTCCTGAAAAGCATTACTGAAGACATTTTAACATGAAAACATCCCATGATTCTATTATTCCTTGTTTGTATCAAAGATGAGAACCTCTCATAGAGACAGGAACTCTTACAGATGCAGACTGTTAATGCTGGAGAACTGATCAACATTTACAAAAACACATTTATGTGCAGAAGCTAAATACCTTCTTCAAGAAAATGCCTTTGCCCACAGTTATGGGGGTTCTCATATTAATAAACCAAACAAAATCTGGCCCTTAACAGAAAACACTTCTGTGAGGGCCTGAAAAACATCAGTGTTATGGACAGTGACAAATATTGCTGGAACCTTGTGTTTTATGAGAATGATTTGTTAATTGTTCAATGCAGCTGTTGCTCGATGGAAAGAAAACATTTGTAATGCCTCTGTGGTCCTATTAAGACTAATTAATTCCTTTTCCAAATGAAATCGAGACTAATTAGACTCTAATATTAATTTCCTATTTGTCCTGAGCTGCTAATTTTCATATCACCCTGTTGCAGCCTATATTTGTATATCTGTGCTTGGGGATGTCAGTATTTGTCTGACAGGGTGGCAAGATGATATAAGACAACCATAAACATAATTATTAAAGTTGCCAGAGGGGCTGGAGAATGATTCCAATCTCAACAGTGGCAGTCAGGCCTTGAACTCCATGTGGAACTAGACATGAGCTGGTTCTCCAGAAACCTTCAAGAGAGAGCTTCACACTGGGAACAAAGGTTTAGATGATGAACCCTTGTGTGCCACTGAGGTACTGCTCAAGTGATTTTCAGTATATTTAATTGAATTATGAACTTCTCTGTTGAAATAAGCTATTGATACGTTCATGCTGGCCCCACTCCTCCTGGCAGACTGAAGGAATGCTGCTTATCCCTATTTCTCTCATATGCAGTTTCTCTTCCTTCTCTGCTTCCTTCCCTGGACAATGCAAAGGTGGTTCTCTCTGGGAAGCTGATGAGCTCCCTGCACCCTCCCCAGCCATCACCTTATATCTGACACTCTTCAAAGGCAGTGGGACCATGATCTCCTTCTATGGCTCAGATTATACTCTCTTCTCTCAGGCTTTCATGTGTTTCACCCTGAGAAATTGCTTCCCAGCAAACGTCTATTTACACCTTTAAACCTGGTTGTCCAGATTATGTTTTCCACTTGTTTTTGTGGTACTGCTTACAGTCCTCATCCTAACATCCTGCACTGCATCTCACACTATTAAACACTGATTTCCTTATGATAATGCTCCTTGGCCAGTCACTCAGGACATGAAACTTCCTCCTTATCTCACCATCCTCTAAAGTTCAATCCACCCTTTCCTGCATAACCTGTGCAAGTGCCTCCACTCCTGTGGATTCCTTCTACTACCCTCACTAACAGCATGCTAATCCAGCTTTCTACTTCTAAGGTATCTCCAGCCTTCCCAGTCCTGCGTTTCAGCCAGTCTCTCTTTCTGAATGTTTCACAATGATTTTCAAAGCTGTGTGTCCAGAGCTGTAAGTCTGACCATCTGTGATTGGCACTGCTGCTACTATTTCTTCCTCTCACAATCCTGTTTTGTCAAGGGCAAAACTGTCTCCTCTGACATGGGGAACCATCTTGGTTTCACTTTGGCACAAATATTTTGTCCATGTCCAAAATTAATATTATTCCTTCTAATCTCATTTTTCCTCTGGCCACTACTCCTATGTTGCCTTATCTCATGAAACCATACACTCTGTTTTATTTCAGCCACATACCTTTGATGTCCACAATACCTGTTGAAATGCACAGAGAAGTTCACAAGCAAGAGTCTACACATTTTTGTTCTAATAATCCTCATTTGTTGTTATTCTTGTCACTGAGTGCAGGTGTTACCATCTTTAACACATATTTAATTTGTTTTTTCATAATTATCTATCGTCTTCTTCAGTGCTATTTTGGATATGTATAATGCTTCTCTAAATCTTTGACTGTGAAGCCTGTGAACACTTTTTGTCTTCTGTATAAATACTGTTTTTACACCTTTAATGAATGGTCTGCATAACAGCAGAACAGTTGAATGCAAACAGTGAGAAAGTGGTTAAAATTCCCTTTAACTAAAAAAACTAACACCTCAACAAAGAATTCTCTGTGAGAAAAGTAGTGCCAGTGCTTTACTGACATCCAGAGAACAGGAACAATTTGAAGCCTCTAATACTGCACAGGAAAATAGTTTTGGGTTTTCTTCCATGTTTTCCTTTTATCTTCCAATTTTAATAACCAGACAGCTCAGAAAATGCTGCTGTTTCTAAATAAGTTTTAAATAAATCTTTTTCTAAAAGTCAGTCCCTGAATGTTATCTCGAAACTACTTCCCATGAAAATAAAGTCATATGACAATTAGTTTTGTCCAGGAAACAAAATCCTGTTAGAACTTTCATCTCTGCAGGAGCCCAGGTGTCTGTGAGGGGAGTGCTGGATGGGCATGGGAGACCCCTGGACCTGAGAGAAAAATCTTGCCTTGTCTTCCTAGCTGTTGCCTATGACCGGGCAAAAGGAAGCAGGGCTTGGAGTCATGACTTTTCGGTTTCTTCTGTACGCTCTCTCCTCTCAGAATTCCTGGTTTGTTCCTTTTGTGCTGTAGTTCTCCCTTTCCCTTATAAAAAAGCCAACGCTTTTTGTCTGTCCTGTGGGGGAATGTGAGCAGTGCCCTGAGGGTCCTCTATCAATCCCCTGCCCTACAGTGTTTGAGAGCAGTAATTCATGTCTGGTGTCAGTGTCCCCTGCCCTGCTCGGCAGTGATGTGACCCCCGGCTCACCCTGCACTGGCTGCTGCTGCATTTAATGGGAGGGGACCCACTTGTGTTAGTTGGAGACACTGTCTTTGACTGTCTTTACAAACTGGTGTCCTCAATTAATTTACAGATGCAAAGCAGGTTTTCCTTGGTGAAATGTTCTACAAGTACCACTTCATCCTGAGTGACCCTCACTGAGGATGGCACAGCCAGTAACCAGACAGGGAATCTCATGGTAACTCGCTATTTTCTATGGCTTTCTGTGCATTTTTACATTGTGTTTTTTCACTGCCATTGCTTAAGTTTTGTTGCCTTATTTGGTACTACAGAGCTGTACTTTACATATCTTAACCTTCTCAGGAGATAAAGTAATTCTGGTGCTTTTAATTAAACACTAGCACTTCTGCCAATTCTTCATGATTTAATATATCCAATACCATTAACATGTGATTAACCTAGGTCAACATATCCTTGAAAGAGAAAATCTTAGTCTTAAATGCAAGAATTTTTACTTTCAAATCATATCTGACTGTTTTAACAGACTAATGAGCACAAAAAGGTGCATGCAATAATAACTGAACACCTTACCCTTCCTGTCTCACAAAATTTCCAAAACATTTAAAAGAGGTATATAGATCTGTTCACTTTTCTGCTCTAGATGCCACAGGATTAACGGTAAAGAATGTGGCTGTCAGAATAAGGATCAACGTTTGGCTTTAGGATTGAGCCCTGCCAAAATGACACTGTAAAAGACAGTCACCTAATTAAATTCTGTGAGATGAAGACCATAGAGTCTTTTGCAGTGAGTTCTCACATGTGCAGGTCGTGATTTTATTTGTGGAGTAACTCACCTCTTTTGGATCTTACCATTCTGAAATCAGGGCATTCGAATCTGAACATTCTTCTACTCAGAACATAGAAAAAGGATCAAATTCAAAATAAATTTGAGTCCAGGAGGAATTAAGAGGAAGATCACAATGTATAAAAATTGCTTATTAAAAATTATGTGTTTAAAATGTTAGTTGTCTGTGTCTTGCAACTAAATTTCTCTAAAAAAGGGAATTGTCAAGTATCTTCACCTCCAGGGTGAAGGGTGCTGAGGGTGAAACAGGCAGAGCTGCCCTTTGGGAGAGGAGGCACAGTGCAGAGCTGAGTAAAGGGAACAAGAGCAGGGCCAAAGAAACTGTCCCCACAGAGAGTTAAGGGGAAGCACTACAGAAATACACTTCCTGCAGGGATCACATTTTACCTATAGAGGATCTTTTAACAGAAAGATCTTATTGAATAATTCTTACGTCTTTGATGAAACGAAAAACATCAGCAGTAACCTAAGCAGGTACCTACTGTAACATGTTTGTCTTGGATGTCAGATACACTCTTCCCTGAATAATTCTAATTTTGTTGAAGTAAAACTGAACCATGGATGATTCATTCCACATCCCGTTTCTATTGTAAGGCCTGTACAGCACAGAGTTACTGTAGCTTCTCTACACCACTATGGAGTAACATTTGTTTCAACTGGTATTGTATTAATATCTTCTCTAGAAATAATGGTTTTCCATACTAAAGTATATAAATATAGTCAGCCATTGCCTTTTCTTCTAAAATGCATTCAATAAAGGTAGATTTTATATAGGATTAAAAATCTGATATGCCAGTTCTTAGCAACATTTCATACAATGATCCCAAAGGCTGTTTAACACAGAAGTCTGTCTTTATTACACTTGTAGCCTAGTTTGGCTTTGCATGTGCAAGTGACGTTCCACTAAAGCCAAGTATATTGCTGCACAGCACTGTGTGAATTAATCTGAGATGGAAAGATGGCAATTTCCATTCTTCTTCACTGTTTACAGAAAGTGTACTTATGTTGTACTCCTTGTTTCCAAAAGCAGAGGAGTCAATAATTTGTGCCAGGATCAATAACTCAATTAAAAGGAATTTAAGGACGGGAGAGACAGAGACACAACTGCTCCTCACAGGAGAACAGCAGTGTGGTGCCACTGCCTGCTGTGGACTGGAAAGGGGAACACAGAGGAGGAAGGAGGAAGGGACTCACCTTCTGGCTGGGCGTTTGCACCTGCAGAGCCAGGAGCTCCTACGTGCACAAAGGAGCTGGAACCTCCGGTGCCCACAGGAGTATAATGTCCCCAGTGACAACACATTTTTATAGCAGTTGACTGTAACGCTGAAATACACTGTAGCACTGCATTAACCATCGCATCTCCCACTCTACATGGGACAAATTCTGTTTCCTGAAGATGCCAACTGAGCAAAGGATTGGCAATTTCCATGTTCATCTCCAATTTTCCTTTCAGAAGCGGTGCTACGAACTGCCATGGTGGACATCTCACTGCCTCCCCTGTCCTGGGTTAGCACTGCTCTCTCTGAAGTTGGGTTCACGTTGGACTCTGCAATTCCTGTGGCATTGCACCTGAACATTTGAATCAGACACTTCCTGAACTAGAAAGGTGAAAAAACAGGAGATCAATCAAAACACATGAGAAATTCTAAAACAGTTCTATAAATCAGTCTGTGTGTTAGCTAAAACTCTTAGAAATTCTCTCATGAATCAGTTGGGAATATAAAGAAATAACCCTATAAAATATATTTGCCCATGCCACCATGGAGAACTCTAAACCTGAGAACTAATGATGTTCTCAAAAGACCCAAACTATTTCCCTCTTCTGATTGTAACTAACCACACCTAATGGACAGAACTGGTCATTTCTCCAGACTCAAGAGTTGCTTTCATACACTAAATCCCAGCAATTCAAAGGTGGTTTGTCTGTTGTTTGCATCCACACGCAGGGGAAGAGCAGCATCTGCCCCGCACTGGGAGACCAGGGTGCTATCCACAGCATGAGAGACAAGCAATAGCTGTCTGACTGAATAAATAAATGTTTTCACCACTTCTTATTCAGCAGTCACTTAACTATTTTTCTTCTTTTCACTTACATGCTTATACTCTGCTTGATGGCACCACTCTCAGTAGCTTCATTGCCTGCAGAAATCTGTGCATGTTTGTTATCGTGCTTGTTACCACTCTGAGCACACAGCACTCCAGCCCAGCCCCAAGGCAGTTCCTTTTCTCTGCATCTGCATCTGATCCTCTGCCCTCATTCCAGAGAAGAAAGCTCCCTGTCCACGGGCACATGCAATGCTACTACCCTGCTGCACATACAACCACAAATGCAGCATTTCCCCGAAACAAATTTCAAGCTTTGAAAACTTCCACCCCGCCTCAAAATCAACTTCTTGGTGTTGCATTCCTGAAGAATTATTGAAATACACTGGGACAGTCTTAGAACAGAATTTTCATACAGAAAACCAACTGATGTTCACTAAGGGCTGATTTTCCTTTATAATATCTAAACCTAATAATTATTAACACTTATATTTTAATAATGCACAGAGGCTTATGCTATCTTACGGCAGGCAGATTATTTTTTTTGTTCTGAATGCTGGATGTTGTAATGCTTGTTAACTAACACATAGGCAGGTAGAAATAGTTCTCTATAAAGCAAGATAAAATAGCAAAATATGAGTGTTAAAGACACTTTGAGAGCATACAGTACCTGTTTGTTCATAAAGACATAAATAATTGGATTATAAACAGTAGCTGTTTTGGAAAAGAAAGCTGGGATTGCTGCCAGACAAGGATCCAGCTCGATGGAGGGGTCTGCAGTGACGAGGATGGAAAAGGCGGCGTATGGCATCCAGCAGATCAGAAAGGCAATGATCATAACAACCACCATTCTGGTCACTTGTCTTTCAGGTCTCCTGGCAGTTCTGAGCCTGCCTTGCGTTTCTGACACCTTTAAAGAAGAGATAAAAGATTCTGTCTAAAAACTGATAAGGAATCACGCGCTGGTGCTTTATCTTCCAAACAAAGGTATACTGCCAAAACAACTTACCTCTGTGCTAAACTGTTAATTTGATCTTTTCCTGAAAATTAATTTCTTTCATCAACTTTGCAGTTGCAGTGAAAGCCACTATTGGCTCTGTAAAGCTGGTGTCACCAGGACTGAGAGACTGGCAGACTTCACTAAGACAGAACTGTGCCACTCAGGACCAAGTCTGCATTGTGGCAACCATGGGACAATGGCAGCCAAAATCTGGGAAAGGGGATGGTTGGGAACACCAAGACACCAGTTCTGGTGCCTGGGCCTCTCTCTGTTCACTGTAGTCAGATTTTTGAAAATGAGTTTAGCTGTGAGATATGGCCATATGGTAATTCATTATAGATTTACAGATTATGTTGCAGGTATTGGCTTTTCAGAGCCAAAGGCCAGGACTTGCATAAGCCAGATGGTCACAACTACATCACCTGTGATGTGGCCCCCTGAGGGCACCCTTGTTCCCTGGCTGTGCCATCCACCAGGTCACTGAGCTGCAAGGGAAGTGTGAAACACACAACTTACCCAGAAGTGTGATTTTGTAAATAATACTGCTATTCCAGAGAGAGGAGTGAGAAAGACAGCCCAGTGAGATCACACCAGAGTGGCTCCAGGCCATGCTGGCACACACTATGTGGCACTGACCAGCCTTCCAGAAGACATCATGACCTGACTCAAATGGCAAAATGGGTCGTTCATGACGTTTGCTGTGATTGATGGTGCCTCCCTTGCTCCTCATCTCACCTGCTTTTTCACTTGCAGACTTTTAAGAGGCAGGAAATGGTCCTTTCTGTGCATCTCCTAAAGCATCTGATTAACAGATCAGCCACTGCTCTGGCAGTCCCATGACAGCACTAGATGCAAGTGGTCTCACTGTCCTTCACACCCCCTCTGTTGGGGTAATGTCCCAGGTAACCCCATGGGTTCCCCTCCCAGGAACATCCTCCTGGAGGTGGCCCTGTGTCCCCCCTGGGTCCTCAGGGACAGCCCTGTGTCCCCAGCAGGAGTAGGAGCTTGAGGTGGCTGCTCTGGGCTGTCCCTCTTCCCCCACATTGAGCTGGCCCCCTGTGCTCCCCCTTCATCCCATTTCCTCTGCAGGTAGGGCAGGACAGGTGAAATAAAATACTAATAGAAATTCTGGATATTCAGAATAACAGAACCATAGTTTTACAAATTCTCTTAGGAGAGCCTGAGTCCTCAGCAATGATTTTCTTCAGGCATCTCCACATCCTGCTCTTCAGGGCCCCACTCCCTGGTAGGCACCAGCTGTACCCCCTGCCATCCACATCCCACCTCTCCCAGCCATTCAGCCTTCTCTCCCCTGAAAGAATCTGTGAGGAAACCAAGAAAAATCCTTTCAGAAGAATCAAAGTGTCACCCAAAGTTCCCTTCTATTTCATTTTACTTAGAAAGAACAACATTCAAAGTAAATACAATTTGACTATCCCAAATACTTTCAAAACATCAGTAAATTGAAGAAATTCACTGAATTTATTACTGAAGCAATAAGGCAAGGCAGCTTTGCAGTAAATAGAAATATTAATATTGTCCTAAAATACTGTCCCAAAATCCAATTCCAGATAGGAATTTTCCTATTCTATTGTCTTCTTTTTCACTTTTTGCAGCTTCTTCTTTGAATCAGGTGGACACAACCATTAAATAAAATTCAAAAGCATTTCTCAAGCCTTTAAAATATTTCTGGACAACCTATTATTTTATTTACTAAACAGAACTGCATTATTTACAAATGCTACATCTCACTGCATATAATTGTTACAAGCCAGTAGCCAGCACTCTTAAAATTTACAACTGAGTCATTTTAAGCTACATTCTGATTTGCCTGGTTTGAGTCTTAAGAAATGTCACTGAATTGAAGTACAGTTGTGAATAAACCAACACTGGGTAATTCAGTTTCTTTATTTATGAGGCAGACATTCTTTCATTTGTATGATGTTTGACTAATAGATGACTAATAAGTGATGCAAACTGCACACTTTGAAAAACCACGTCTAACCATGGCATGTATTTCTGTTTGTAGGGATAATTATTTAATAATAACTGAATGTGTTTGCTGACTGCAACCCCGATCTGCTTATGTCTGATCTTTATAGAAAGTCAAACTTAAAAATTCCAAACATTTGCGTACATGAACATTTTAAAAGTTCACTTATAAGTGCTTCTTCTTACCTTTTTTAGCTTCTGCACCAGTTTTCCATAGGATACCAAAATCACTAATAAAGGCACTATAAAACAGGTGGTGAAGAACACAATAATGTATGCATGGTCAGCATAAGTTCCTGAGTACCTGTATAAAATACAAAATACATTGTGTATGTATTACTAATATGTGGTGTTACTATTTTCTTGAAGTAGTAATTTTGCTCTTCAAAACTGCCTCTAATATTTTTGTCAACTGCTTTTATTCCAAGTGCCCCTTTGCAACTCTAGCTGCATCACCAGATGGAGCCCTGGGCCATTTCCCTGCCCCAAGCTAGGACAGGATCCTGTGGCCACAGATCAGTCCCACAGAACTGTGGGGTCCATCAGGTGGGAAGGGATATGTAGTCCAATCTCCTCTCCAAGTGGAGCCAGCTATGGGGTCAGACCAGCTTGCTCAGGGCTTTGTCTGCTCTTCTGAAAAAATCTGTCTCTTTGTCCTCTTTGACTCCTGACAAAAAGCACAAGGTATAGGGTGGTTATTTCCATTAGAGCTGGAAGCTCCTCCCATTAGAAATTTTTGTTTTAAAAGCCGTTCACGGAAAATTTTTCTCGTTTCTATCACAACTTTCTTTGCATCCGTTTTTTGCAGAGATGTTTAAACCTTTCCTTTAAATTCCTGCCCCCGAGGCCTCCTCAGCTGCAAGTCTCATTTCTTTACCACACCGTGCGAGAGTGGCCTTACCAGTTAAGCTCACAAGTGGTTCCAATCTTACTGGTGGTGTAACTGCTCCAGCCCATTGTTGGTGGAATGGTCCAAATGAAGGAGAAGGCCCACACAGACACAATCCCCAGGGCTGCATGTCTCCCCTCCAGGCGCAGGTTTCCCAAGGGGCGGCAGATCACGATGTACCGTTCGAAGGCCAACAGAGCGAGAGACCAGAGAGCAACAATGCCTGCAACGAGGAAACAGCACCAAAATTGAGCAGATTCACTGAAGTGCCAACATCATCCCAAATGACAGAATCACAGACTTGCTTGGGTAGAAAGGTATCTCTGGGGGGTCACCATCCCCTCTCCCCACTCAAGCATGGTTCACGTACCAGGTGGTGCAGGACCAAGTCCAGCTGGATTCTGAATATCTCCAGAGATGGAGATTCCACAACCACTCTGGGCAGCTGGTTTCAGTGTCTGACCCCCCACCACATTAGACACCTTTTCTATTGACTCAAGTTATGAAAGGATGTGCAACTTATGCGCTTTATTCTAATATTAACTAAGAGCATAAGAATTTCATATTTGTGTAGTTTGTCAGTCTACAGTATAACAGCTACAAAACCAAGCAGCTAATTGGGCCAGTCAAGTGACTGTGACTTTCATTTTTCATTTGGTTCTACTCTGAAAAACTGCAAATTATGTGTACCATCCAAATTAACCAATTAAGATATATCTTCAAAAGGCTATCTTTGCAAAAAATGTCATATTTCAGACTGTCATAAAACTCAAACCTACAGAGAGCTGCCCACAACATCAAATTATCAGTTTATTAGGCACATATCACCTGGTTGGCCACCAAAATCTTGAAATAGCCTCATCTTTCTCCACAGGACATGGCTTACGTGCCACAAACTGATTTGCTAACACTGTCCCTCACTGACATTCTCTCTGTGTAGCTCCAACAGGTGGAGAACAGCTGTGGGGCTCCTTTTCAGGCTGAGGATCAACACTGAGTGGGATTTAGGGCAGTGAGGAGCATTACTGGCTGTCTTTATGCAGCTTCAGAAACAGGGGCAGGAGGCAGGAACGAGTGTCTGTCTCAAGTAAGTAGATGTCCCACTTTAAACTTATTTCCTATTTATTCTGCAGAGCTGTATTTACACAGGGAACTACATGGTGATGACTCTTCCTTTTAGAGTACTTCTAATACTTTTTTGTAGTTAGTGAACAAAGCAGTGAAAAATAAATCACAAAAAGCTGGAGGTGTGCAGAGTAGCTGTTACAGGTGTGTCTCTGCTCCTCAGAACCACTACAGGGTAGGGAATATAAGAGGTTTCTGTGCCCTGAGATTTTCCACAGTTTATGGGCAGCCACTGACTCTTTTTCTCTCTCTCTTATTCACCCATATATGCACACACCTAAATACAATTATTGAAAATAGTTATGCATAGGGATTTTTTTTCCTGAAATTGTTTTTCTACAAACCCCACAACACTGTCATTCTATTGGCAAGCTTTTCTGCATTATATGAAACACATTCAATGATCAGTATACATGGGACAGGCCAGGTATATGACAGAGAGAGAGAGAGGTTTTTCACTTGCACATGTGTTCCAGTACAGGCTATCTGGGGAAAGCACCACTGAATTCAAAGGCATGCAAAGGCAGTGACTTGGGGAGCTGCAGTAAAATACATCGAAGGAAGTTGGAGGAAAAGAACACACAACTACAAACACAACCAAGCTTACCAAAAAATGTGACAGCAAATCCTTCCAGTACACAAGCCCAGTATCCCATATAAAAATAACCTTTTAGATTTGTTAGAAAGCTGATGGTGCCACCAGTCAGTGAGACCAGGAAATCAGCCACAGACAAATTGACTACAACATAATTGACAGGTTGTCTCAATTGCTTGAACTTAAAAGTTACCAGGATTACAGCCAGGTTCTCAGCAAGCGACAGGGAGGTCACCACCAACATTACTGCTGCCAGAAGCCTGAAGTGCCAGGGCTGGATGGAGTCCAAGGGACGACGGAAGGGATCCCAGCTGGCAGGACCAGAGGAACTGGGCAAGAGCGACTCATTTTCAAATGCTCTAAATGCATCCATTTTTTCTCTCAGTAGCAAAAATAATATTATATTATAATGTATTATATGTAAATAACATTCAGGATTAAAAGGAGAAGTTTGCTGTGTCCAACAGAAGTGTGAGCAAACTCTCCCTGCTTCTGCTTTCCAGCAATAGTCCAGGAAAAAAAGTTTTCGTTGGAAGAAAGTTTAGTGCTGCAGAGTGAATGCGGGAACTGGGATTAGCAAGAATATTTCTCAGAGCAACTTCTGCCCCTCTCTGCCCATCGTCTCCTCTCCTGCCTCCTCCCACTGCGGCTGTGCCTTTATCTGTGGTCGAACCCAGCTGTGGAAGCTGCAGGTTTCCTCCTCCTGCAGGACCAGCAGCGCTGAAATACCCTCAGCTCAGCTCTGCTCCGCTCCGGGGGGGAAACGCAGTGTTTGCTTGGCAGCCTCTCACACCTTCAGCACAGTAAAAATGCAGCTTTTTTTTTGTCGGTACGAGGGTGGAGCGACCTCCCCACACCCAGCGACGGAGGGAGGCAAGGGGGAGGCTCCCGCCTGAATGGTTTTCTTGAGAGAGGGCAGCCCTGGAGAGATGAACGCTGCAAACCACAGTACAGAACCCTGCCCGCAGCTCAGGCTGGCTTAGAGCTCCCAAATGAGTGTTCTCTGTTATTCTGTGGAATTTCAGCTTCTATCAAGACCTTACTGACATCTTTCCTGATGAAGGCATAAGGATTATAACTGCAGTTTTGGTACTAAAATCTCAAAGAAGCACAGCAACACTTTAAAGATAGAGTTGGTAACTATGTTAAAAGAAATACAGCTTGACAACTGACACCAGGAAAATTAAGTCATATATTTCTGATAAAAATGACTGGATATATCTGAACTCTAACATAGTTAATCACGAACAGTCAGGGTTACTTGTGTCCAGTTCCCAAGATAGGTAGCACAGTCCCTGCACTCTCATGAGGCATAACACTGTGACAGATATTCCAGTACTGGATATACTGTACAGATACTCCTGTACAGCACTGCCAGTAATTATCCCAAAAATTAAGAAGGATACCTCAAAAATATAGCAATTATTCAGCTGTGTTGTAAGTGAGATAATTCCTGGGGACAGTAATTGTTAATCAGATCCTGAGTTTTAACCAGAATCAAAAATATAAAAGCAATCCAGTTCCTGTCTGGGAGAGTTCACAGTTTGGACATAAACAATGTACAATACACGAATAAACGAACAGTGAGAGTAACAATGAGTAACATCTACCTGTACATGCAGTCCCCTGACTTCAGATTTGCTTTGGTTTGTACATAAACCACTTTGTTAACACAGGCTAAAATCTTTCAGCATACAAGAAAGGAATCTTAAGGGTTTCTGGACGCTGGTAGAAAGAGTTATGCATCTGAAAATTTTGAAGTAAAAAAACCAAAAACCTCCTACTTACCATAACCAAAATAGCAAAGATATTTTTTAATGGTTGGTAACTGCAAAGGAAAGAGATGATGCTTAAGCACATCAAATCCAGCAACAAAATTACTCACAACATTGAGAGTAACAGCCTGAACATCCAAGATCCAATGCAAAAAATTATCAGTAAAGTCAGCTTTTCTAGTTGCTCAGGGTGTATCATCAAAGCATTTTTTTCTAGGGATTCAGTTTGTGTGAGTGTCTGTACAAAAATGACTCTGATGCTGGCACCTGGTTTTCAAAACTGATTTCATACGTTTCTTTTTTTGTTTGTTTTTCAGCTGCAGCTTTATTTTCTCACAGTTACTGAAAACTAGCAATTGAACATTTGAAGTCTGTTCTCAGAAAACACTGAACGATTACAATGGAAAAATCTTGTCCTGCCCTTTCAAGTGACTTGGAGGAATTATTTTGCCCTCTTGCTCATTAAAAGAACGGGAGGGGAGATTTCCTTTTGCCCAAAGGTAAAAGCTGTGTACAAAAGAGGCGTTCTACACTTCAAAAGATACCAGCACAGCTGCAGGAACTTCAGTAACCAGCAATATATAACAAAGCTGGTATCCGAACAAAACATGTTCTATTAACTATGAATAAGAAACTAATGCCAATTACAGCAAAAAACCCCAAAAGCATACTGAGCACCAGAAAAGGAAACAATTTGTTAGCAGACTGTATTTACTCAAGGCATGTTAACAATGTCTTGCAGTTTGACACCTCATCTGAGCAGGTAAGACTCTGTTTACTCTATGATAACACAGTTCTTTCCAAAGCCCAGTTAAACTCAGTTCCTTGAGGACTGCACAAAAGCAGTTCAGTAAAAGGCAATGCTTTCATACTGTTACTGATTCTGGCTGAAATTATTTTGCTGTTACTATGAATGGTTTTCCACAGGTTTTTGAGTTTTTCACCCAGTTGCTTTCACATGATACTAATATGTTAACACAGCAGTAAAAGAAATCGTTTTAACAACAAGTAAAGAGGTCTACAGGTATTGAAGAGACAGTGTCATTTTAATAAGCAAAAAATCTCTTCAGTGGTTTGTTTTCCCTCAGAATTTGCATATTCCCCAAAAGCTCAGTGTGAATTGTTAGCCAGTATATTCACTGGATGGTACGACTTGGAAAAAAAACCCAGTTCACATGATATTTCTTATTTAAGAGGATTTTTCTATTATGAAACCCTCAATCAGAGGAAAGAGGACTCAATCATGCAAGAAATCCTACTGTCTTGAAGATGATCATGGACATGAGAATCTTCGGTCTTAAAAACCATTATTTTGAGAAGTTTGTTATTAGACATATCAAACACATTTTCTTTGTACTGCAGTCCCTGAAGACAATATATGACATTTGCCCTAAACTTGGCATTAGATTGAGACCAAATCTTTGAAGAAACTAAGGTCAGAATACAATCTGCAGCTTTTGATTTGTCATTGTATTTATGTTTAGTGTAACTACGATAATTGAAATACTGTAACTGTGACTATGACATTGGCATCCTGTGCGTGATTATTTCATTGGGGCCTAAAAGTCAGAATTCAAGTGGACTCACTCTCATCTGTAGAGTAAGTGGTTTTCAAGAGTGATTGTAAGCAGAAGTGTTTCTAGATCTTTCTTTCTCTACCCCCACTGTCAGACAGTGCAGGATGGAGGCATTTAGGGACAGTCTTGGCTGGGAATGATGAGTCGTGGAGAGTAGATTTGTACTAACATGAGCACCTCTTCCAAAAATTAATCTGTCCCCATCCTTGGTGCAGCAGTAATCAGTCCCTTCTGTGCCCCTGGGAGAACTCAAGCTGGCTCTGCACTGAACAATTAACCTACAGCAGCAAGGGGAAGCCTCTGCACACAAAGACAGCAGAGCAAAAATTAAGACAAACCCCTCTGCACATTGGGAATCCATTCTGTCACCAACAATCACATAACAGAATTTTTTATTCAAATAATACAAAACTGTGTGACATAACCCTGAAGCAGCACCAAGCTTGGGTCCCACAGCCCAAAAATAACTGCTTATTACCTTACCTGTTAGAAGATAACACATGCCCCAGTGTCAGGAGAATGTGCAAGAAAACGCTCAAGGTTTTTTAAAGAAAGTCTTCACTTTGGGGTTCACAGCAATGTTTCCTTACAAGCTGCAATGACTAATGGACATCAGAGTTTTTGAAAATGAGTTATGCCTGCACTACTTAATTTTCTAACATGTATTTTTTACATAAAAGCTTTGTTTGGTGTTAAATGGGAAGTGCCGCAAAGTGGATGAGGAGGAGCAGCTGCTCCTGAAAGAAGGAAGGAACCAGAAGGCAGCAAAAATATTTCACAGTTTTCAAACAGCTCAGTACAATGAGGAGACTTCTCCCCCTTACCTTCTCAGCTGAGGCATTATTAGGGAAGAACCTGGAAAAAATCTCAGAAAGGTGAAACTGAAAAACATATGAAGCACGAGAAATGTCGGCCCTGTCACAGTCCTCTGCCAGCAGTGTCTGGCTCTGTGCATGGAACAGTCGCCCAAGGTGACACTGCCCTGAGAAACTTGTGCCTGCTCTTCAGATAAAAAGTCAGGGGTAGCTGGTGTGATGCCAGCCCTGCCACTGCTGTGTATCCTGATGCTACCACATGTGGCAGGTTTCATCACACACACCTCAGGTGTTGCTCGGGCTCTTCCTTATGACTTTCACATTTTATGTACAGTGTATTCCTCCTGACTGCTCCTGAATAAACACACCTTTTACTTCTTGCTTCAGTTAACCCACCTCTTTAGTGACAGTGGGACTGCAAGTGATCTCTGGAACTTCAAAGGACATCACTCATTTTGGATTTTCACTGGCTAAGGGCATGCAGATCATTTTTCTCTTCAGCCACCTTCCTCTGCTTTCACTTGTGTTTGCTGGTAGGACCCTCAAGCACCAAACCTTTTTACACCAAGACACTTCAGTTTAACTGCTGACAACTCTTTAAAGACCTGTCCCCAGGCCTTTTTCACTTATTATTCACCTTTTGTAAATCTACAGCTTTGTCTTTTTCTGCAACGTTTATATGCAGTGACCTGTACTGGGAGATTTTCAGAGGGAGATTTTCAAAGGCACTATGGTGAGAGAATGACCCCAGAAAACCTGAATACATAGTATGGAATCAGGTGAAGCAACAGTACAGAAGTAAGGATTACTGTCATAATTCATTTGGCTAATTGGATGTCAAATAAGCAAAAATTAATGCCAGCAAGCAAAAAAATGAGGCATTGGTCAGCTGGCTTGTGAGAGGATATAGAGTGTATATTAGATTATGTAAAAGTGAAGTTAAGCCTCATGATTTTACATACAGAGAATACACGTGAAAAAAAAAGTTCCATTGCATGCTGATACAGTATCACAGGAAAAGTGTTTGCTAGTATTGTATGTGTAAAAATCTTCCAGGGATAAAACTTCCTAGACATTTATTTCATTCAATAACACTTGCTGTGAAACATGGAGCATATCCTAAAGCTCTTCTGGAGCTGACTAAAGGATGCAGGACCCTTCTATCGCTGCGTCTTCACCTTCATATTTCCTCTTCTCAGCTACCAT